CCCCAAAACCCCAAAACCCCAAAACCCCAAAACCCCATCCTAAAATTAATAATTTTTTACCTAATTCAAAATGAATGGTAAGCCCCCAAACCTCGCTTTGTCTAATTACCGTATAGGTTACGTGTTACTGTTGCATACAGATAAAGATGAAGGGGAAGAATACATGCTGTATTCATACCCACATACAAGTATGAGGATAAAGCAGTTTCAAAAGCTGAAAGGGGTCTTTCTGGCATGCTCAGGTGTCACTTCAACTATCTTAGGCGAACCAGCCAAGATATTTTCGTTTAAGATCAATGAACGTAATGAGGAAAATAGGTATGGGGCTATTGGAAATCTGAAGTTCCAGAGTAAGGTCAAAGCTAAAGATATGATGCATAACAGTCAGGGGTATTATAAAGCAGCCTTTGGATGCTCAGAAATTAATAAGTTACTTGTAACAGTCATTCTTCCATCTTCATACCCAGACCAGGTCTGCATCTATGCTGCTGAAGAGTGTAAATAATTTCATTGAAACCTTCTATACACATAGTTTGATCTACTTCTTGGAAAATGAAGAACTTCAAATCAAAGAAGAAGATGAGAAGGAAAATGAAGGTGAAGGAGCTGATCCTGTCAATGAACAACTCAAGCAGAAGAAGTAAAATACTTTTTTAAGATTTAGGAAAGAGAAGAAGGAAGAAGAGTATGCTACAAAAAGAAAAGCAGCTCTTGAGAAACTAGATTCCATATTTGATACAGTCTTTTATCAACTTATACCTTTTTCATCTAAGTTAGAAGATTTTGAGAGGTCTCCAATTGGATCTCCACAGATTATCAGCTCGATATTAGGATTCCATCCTGATAACAAATGCCCATCTCTTGCATCTCTAGAACTTTCAGAAAAACTTGAAATAGATTTATCTGAGATTACAAATGCTCTTAATGACGACCAGACAAATATTTTGAGCGCTTTTGATCCTACAACTCAAATTGAAGGCGCAATTTTGATGTACAAAGGATATACAGTGTTCAACCAACTCGAGAAGGTCTATTTAGAACCTGTCGGAAGGGTCATCATGCTGTACAACCTCTTCGAGCACGATAGCAGTCGTGCAGAGCGAGGAGTGGTAGAGGTCGTCCAAGTTGACAAAAAGTATGCTCACAAACTAGACATGCCTCATACTCTTCTTGATGATCATAATGAATTTGTAAATTTTACCTTAATTGTTAGACCAATGACAATAAAGAAGTTATTGAGGATGAACTTTTGTTTGAAGAATCAAGTAAAGTTTAGCCTGGTCTAACATATAGAAGAGAATGTAGAAGGTAATTTTAGACCAAAATCTGACTAATTTTATCGATAAATGCTTAATTTATATAGATTCTTCTAGACCAAGCAATCTTGGAGATCCCTTCCTAAACTTGTATAGTAAGGAAAAATATGAAAATGCGAAGAGAAAAGACAAGATTGCAGAATCTGAGGGTAAAGTAAAGAAAATAGTAGTGGCTATTGCTAGAGGTGAAATGGTCCTTGCAGTAGTTCTCCATATTGTATTCAAATTCTATGGAGGAGAATATGACCCATTGTATGTTGAAAGAGTCAAGCAGACTCTTTTCATGCTTTATGATGAGAAGCTGACTAACATCATTGATCAGAATTTCCATGATTCCTCACTATCAACTCCTTACCATTCTGCAAAGTTTATGAATTCTGCACCACCAATTCATATGAGAGTTCCTAAAAAGAGTTCATCCAAGAGAGGTATTGAAGGCTCTAAAGACAAGGTAGATGAGAATTTAAAGAATGTTTTTGACCAACCAAGAGTTTCCTTAGTCAGAAGTAGCGAATTACTCAGTCACGACAGTAAGTGCTTCCACAGTGTCTAAATATTTTTAAATTTTGGGATTTCCCTCATGATGATAGATACTATTGATTACCTTTTAGTTATTCAGAATAAGTCAATCACTAATATCAATCAGAGGATTAGTGAAAATTCAAGTATTGCAGACCATTCTCTGGGTATTGATGAAGAGGAAAAGGCCAGCATGAATATGACCATGAAATCTCCTCTTGATCCTCAAGATTTTGCAAATAGAGGAAGAAACAACAGTGCTGAAAGAAGTGTAACACAGAAGCATTCTCAGTTCAAAAGATCGAACTCAGCTGCAAGAAACAGTAGAGAAAGTGCTAGAGGGAGAGGGATTGGAGAACTTATGAAAATTAATCCTATTTCTCTGCCTTTATCCAAAGGAAAGTTGTATCATTATTTAATGCTAAATGAAAATATTGGGCAGAACATCAATCCCCCAATTAAGGCTTCACCTAATTGGTTTGGACAAGTTTACAAGAGTATTTTCAGGACATATTGCTACTTGAATCCTGTTCTAAATATCTCAGATATCTTTAAGAAAGATCCTCAGAAGCATACTTCTGAAAGAATAAGAGAAGCCCTGATCTCAGACTCTCAGAATGGGAATGAATATATCTTTGAAGATATCATGGCTTGTGTAAGAGAATATGATGTAGAGAGTCATGACATCCTTGAACAAAAAGAGCAATTTAGCTCTCTCAATAAATTACTGAAGATCAAAGAAATTGGGAGTCAGGTTAGAATTCCTATAAGCAATGTCTTCAATCAAGAGCCTTACTCTAATTTTTGGGTAGTCGCTTCTACAGCTGCTATCAATAAAGATCCTGATGAGGGAAGTATGCTGATTCAGTATGATGAAGAACCCTATAATAGAGATCTGGAGTCTGAAAGAGAAGAGTATACCACTAATTTTGTGGTAAGATCCTATATAACCATTCCAAATACACCCACCATTAGCTAAGCTTGTAAATATAGGCTTATGACAACACCCAAGTTGTTGAATCTCGCTCAGTATTACTCTCTCCTAAGCGTGGTAAAGGTATTTGATTCATCTTGATTTTTAGATTTACGTATGAATGTGAAGAATCCTCCTTTGCCAAGCCAGATATTAAATGCTTTCAAATATAGACTTGAGATCTAATAACTGTGAAATCCAGATTCAATCTTAAATCTTTGGGCGGGGTTTTGGGGTTTTGGGGTTTTGGGGTTTTGGGGTTTTGGGG